CTCCAATAAATAAGCTCTACTAGCAACATGCCCAAAGTATGTGAAATGAAGTTTCGTCATCTTTGTCTCCAAGAAGCATACTGGTGAACCTTCTCCAAGACTTATCTGTTTGTTTTTTTGGTAGTCCATGGAATATTCAATAGTCTTCACCAAAACCACAATTCAAAGGCATCAATCCTTCTTCTGTCATCCTTAGTCACTGTCCAGCTCTCAGATGCAGAGCAAATGACTGAAAAGACCACAGCCTAAATTAGATGTGCCTTATCCCTCAAACTGACATCATCGTTCCTCAACAATCTGGAGAGGTCCCCAACTGCAGCCTTTCCCAGTGCAATACATCTTCTGTTCTCCTAAGTGCTAGTACCAAGTGTACTGATTATGGATCTAAGTAAGATGAAGCTGTTGACATTTTCAATCTTTTCTCCATCTATCATGTTACCTATTGGTCCAGTGGCTAGGATTATTATTTTCTTTACCTTGAGATGTAATCTATATTGAAGGCCGCAGTCTTTGATAGACTGGCAGTTTAAATACATCCAGATACCTTGGAAGAGAGGCCTGGTCAGGGAATCTTTCTGGACCCCACTGAAATTAGTGCTTTTCACCAAGTGCTTCCATGATATCTCTTAATTCCTCAATTATTTTTAAGTAAGCTGTCTATTCCTTATTGGTCTATAAATTCTGGAGCGCAGGGGACTGCCCTTGCTCTTGCATTTTCTCCTCTTCAGTACCCAATACTGTGGTCCAGTATTTAGGAAACATTCAGTCTGACTAATGCCTCAGGAATCAATGGGATGCCAAGTGACATGTTCCATATGACAGATGTGCTCACCAGTTTTTGCCATGAAAATTGCAAGACAGATACCTGGCCAATTGATTAGAAGGGATCTATATTTGATCCCATTCTCAAGAAAGTTGATCCAACAGAATGTGGAAATTATAGAACAATATCATTAATATCACATGTAAGTAAAATATTGTTGAAGATCATCCAAAAATGTTTAGAACAATACACTGATGGAGAACTGTCAGAAGTTCAAGTTATGTTTAGACGAGGCCATGGCACCAGGATTATTATTGCAGATGTCAGGTGGATCTTGGTTAGAAGCAAAGAACATAAAAAAAATGTCTATTTATATTTTATTGACTATACAAAGAGGCTTTGTCTGACATACTTTGGTCATGTTGTAAGGAGAGACCGGTCCTTGGAGAGGGACATCATGCTTGGGAGGGTGGAGGGCAGGCGCAGGAGGGGAAGGCCCTCTGGGAGATGGATTGATTCGGTGACTGGGGCAATCAGGATGACTGTGTTGGAGGCAATGAGATTGGCACAGGACAGAGCACAGGGCTGTTGTACATAGTGTCACTATAAGTTGCAAGCGACTCGACGGCACATAACAACAAACAACAACATACAAAGACATTTCAGTGCGTGGATCATAAGAAACTATTGCTAACCTTAAGAAGAATGGGAATTCTAGAACACTTAATTGTCCTTATATGAAATCTATACCTAAGCCAACAATCTGTTGTCCAAACAGAACAAGGGAACACTCATGGCTTAAAATCGGGAAAACTGCATCAGGGCTGTATTCTCTCTCCATATCTATTCAATCTGTGTGAAAATATGGTGAGAAAATCATTAGAAAAGCTGATTTATGAAGAACAGTGAGACACCAGGATGAGAGGAAGGCTCATCAACAACCTGCGTTATGTAGATGGCACCTTGCTTACTGAAAGTGGGGATGACTTGAAGTGCTTGCTGCAGAGGATTAAGAACTGCAGCCTTCAATATGGATTACATCTCAACATAAAACAAAAATCCTCACCACTGGGTCAACAGGCAACATCATGGGAGATGGAGAAGACTAAAATTCTAACAATATCATCTTGTTTGAATCCACAGTCAACATCCTTAGCACCAGCAGTCAGGAGATAGGGAGATGTATTTTTTGTTGTTGTTATGTGCCGTCGAGTCGTTTGCGACTCACAGCGACCCTATGCACAACAGCCATAAACCCTCTCTATCCTGCGCCAAACGCACTGCCTCTGACACACCCATCCCGATTACCCCAGTCACCGAATCAATCCGTCTCATAGAGGGTCTTCCCCTCCTGCGCTGTCCCTCCACCCTCCCAAGCATGATGTCC